CCCATTGTGTGTCACGCTGCATTTCGCTTCAGTGTACAGTAACTTTATAATGGAAATTATTTTATGCGGGATGTTTCTTAGCTCTAAAATTTTCCATATTGCATCATGAGATAAGCTGTCAAAAGCACGCTCGAAATCAACAAAAACCATGTATAGGGGTGTGTTCCATTCAACCGATTGTTCCATTATTAGCCTCACAGTATTAATGTGGTCTATGCAGGAGGATTCTGGTCTAAAGCCTACTTGATTAGCTCGAAATTCAACCTTGTTTGTTAATCTTTTAAGTATGATGGTCGTGAAGATTTTATTTATGGCGGTAAGCAAGGTTATTCCTCTCCAATTTTTGCATAGTGTGAGGTTGCCCTTTTTTGGAAGCTTAGTAATGATGCCTTTTTTCCAGCCCGCTGGAATGCGGTTTGTTTCCCACACCTCTCGGATTATGGGGAGCAGAAGTTCAGCAGTTAGATGCGGATCAGTTTTAAGCATTTCGGCAGCAATGTTATCGATTCCCGGAGACTTGTTATTTTTCAGAGATTTGATAGCTGTTATTATCTCTGTTTTGGAAGGGGCGTCGCAAGATATACGCAAGTCTATATTCTGTGGATTTTCGACAATTTCATCTGCGTTATCCCTGGGCGTGCCTAGCATCTCCTGAAAATGCTCTTTCCATCTCTCTATTTGGTCATTTGTTGTGGTAAGTAGTTCTCCTGTCTTGGATCTTACGACGTTTGAACAGTTGGGCCCACTTTTTGTTAGACATCTGGTAATTTGGTATAGCTCTCTAGTTCTATTGTGTTGTGCAGCTATTTCGGCTTGTTTTGCCAGTTCTTCAGTCCATCTTCTTTTGTCTCTTCTTGCATTTCTTTTAACTGCTTTATTTATTGTTTCATATTCTTGTTGTCGGTTCGCTCTTTCTTCTACAGTTCTTGCTTGCAGGATATCTTTTTTTTGCTGTTTTCTTTCTTCGATAAGATTCCAAGTTTCATCTGATATCCATTCTTTTCTATGTTTCTCTTTTTTACCGAGTTTATCTTCAGCTATTTCTGTCAAAACATTTGCCAGATCTTCCCAGCTATTTACTTCACGTTCTCTTCTTTTGAGTTGAAGTTCCTCCCTAAACATGTGTCTTCCTGTAGCCGTTTTTAATTTGTCTAGATTGTATGTTGGTCGTTTGGTGTTTCGCGTAATTTTGTTTTTTGCCATTTTGATTTTAATGGTACCGATTACGAGATGATGGTCACTTGCGATGTCTGCTCCTCTTTTGTTACGTACTGAATATATATATATATATATTATATAATATATATATATATATATATATATATATATATATTATATATATAATTACTTTATATTTTTGTAATGTTCTAATTGTTGTGCAGTTTACTCCTGATAAAGCTATAAAATAAAATAATCTATTTTACATTGTATTTAATTATAACTATAATTTTTTAAATAAAGAATATTAATATTCTAAATTTGTATTAATTTTTATTTGGTAAGGAAAGGTTTTATGAAAGGAATAAATACTTAATTAAAATGAGGGAAACTCCTTGTACTCAGAGAAGACATACTTACTTGAGTTGTCTGAGCATAGTGAGGGAAAACCCTCATTTATTTTAAAATTAAAACAAACACATTTTTATAAATAAGACAAAAACATACTATATCTAATATAATATAGGTATTTAATTCTCAAAATCAACAACTTTGAATTAAACAAAGATAAGATATAAAATAAAAAAAACAACAAAAAGTGTAATCAAGTAATGATAATCATTCTGACATTTTGAGAAATAAGGTAGAACATACATAATAAGTATTCAATATTGTATTTACATTCCCATGCATAACATTGGTGAATAAAATGTCTCCTAAAATTTAAACCTCATTCCACATCATTAAAGTTTCTATTTACTACTTTCTAGAAAATCATCATCACTATCATTATTTTCCTGTAAACATATATTGCAAAGTACTGCTGTAGCACTTATTATGCAAGATATGTATTTAATTTGGTTTGTAGGCCTCATTGCAGACAGGGAAACCATATTTTCCAGGTTCCAAATATCCATTTACACATTACATGTGTACTATTATTATATCTATTTTGTTGATCATTGCCTAAAAAGATGTATTTATCAAATAATCTATTTTTTATTTGGCCAATTATCAATAAATACCTGGCTATAATACTGGAGTAAGTAGATTGTGTCTGCACTGCAAACATATTCACTATTCATAATAATTCTGGAATTTGCCCTCTTTCCATTCTAACTTTTAATCAACTTTGATCAAATAATAAGCTACCAATACTTTATCCTGGATGTTGAACGACAATATTAATCTCAAAAAACAAAGAAAATATTGTATTGGAAATATTCATAAATATAAACAAACAAGTTAGGTTAGGATCCCGTACTCAAGGCAGGTCGATCGGATGCTTGAGTACGAGCTGTCATTTTTGCGTTCTCAAGCTCGACTTCGTGCTTGAGAACGGTTTATAGAATACAAATTTGATTCAAGGTCGATCTCAAGTATCGATCCATACTTGAGCATCGTTTATAAATATGGGCCATATAGACTCGGTGAACGCTTTAAAAAGTGTCCAAAACATGAATACCTTTGTTATTGTTTATTGTTTTGATACGAAGATGCACGAAGTTCATGATTTCTTACGAAGCATCACGAAGTTGATCTTGTGTTTGAAAACATCATGGACGTACTCCATTTTGTGTGACAAGCAAATTTTATTTTAAATTGTTGATAGTTATTTACTTACTATTTTAGTAAAATGCCATACTATTTTATCAAAATAATTATTTCTCTTATAGACGGGAACAAAAAGAAATCATAAATATTTAATTTTAATTAAAAAAATAATTATTGTCATTAACTTATAAATGAGCACGCCGCTGTTGTAATAAACATACCTTCAACCTTCAGCCGAGATCTTTCGGACACTCGATTCTATAGCGAGAATAGGGGACTGCGTAGTCTATATATTATACGTCATTGGTTTTGAATAATAGAATAAGAAGATGTTGGATAACTTCTGTCGCTAAAACGTCAATGTCAAATGTCAAATATTAGAGCAAGAGTAAAGCAAAGTTATGTTTTATTTTATACATATGTATTGTTAAATAAATAATTTTAAAAAATTTCCATAACGGACGATGGGTAAGTATTCTAGTGATTCAGAAAATGAAAGACGCGGGAGTAAAAGTTCAAGCAAAGCTAAAAGCAGGCGTAGGTAAGGCAGAAAATGTGTTTGTTCAGAAGTTAACAAACCAGTTAAATTCCAAATGCAGAATTAGTACTGTTCGTAGATCTTCCTCTTCAGATTCGAGTGACTCCAAAAGTAGAAGCAGAAGGAGATCGGGTAAAAAATCTAGTCGCCGATCTAGAACCAGAAGTCGGGATAGATCAAGAGACAGGTATTCAAGATCTAGGTAAGGAATTTTTTACAACTGCTGAACATAAAACCAAAGAATATAGATGCATTTGCGTATATATTCTTTGGTTTTATGATGTAATAATGAATATATTTGCTATTTAATAAAAGTGTGTTGTTAATGTACTAAAAATTATTTATACAGGCGTTCTAGAAGTAGAAGCACTTCCACATATAAATCATCAAAATCTAGATCATATAGATCAAAATCCAGAGATCGCTATCGAGATAGACATAGAAGATCAAGGTCTAGAGATAGGTATAGATCTAGACGTTCTAGGTCTAAATCTTATATTAAAGAATATGTGAGTAAACCAAAACGAAGATCAAATTCAAGTTCTAGTACAAGCAGTAATGATGACATCAAAACAAATATAAAGTATAACTCAAAGAAGAAAGAAGAAAATAATTCAAAAGGCAGTGTCAGTAAAAATGAGAAAGCAGCTTCTCCAGATTGTATTGTAATAGACAATGAAGTTTTAGATGAAATAAATGAGAATAGTTTTGCTCCCAAACAATTTACTTCAAAGTCAAAGAAAGTCCCAGATAATATTGTTATAGACTTAAAGAAAAATACAATTAAAGTTCCAGAAATTGAACAAGAAGAGCCAGATAGTATATTTCATCAGAATGTAAGTAATTCAAATAATAATTTATACTTATATAAGGCATATACTAAAAGTTTTTCACAGAGCCATACATCTGGCAGAAGTTACTTGACTCCGTAAATATGGTTTTCTTACATTTTAAAATTTCTTATGCTAATCAACATTGACAGATTGAAAATTCATCTTGTGGTTAGGTGGCATCAAATTTTTAAAACAATCAATTTCATAAAAATAATGGAAATCTCACTTTAAAGTGTTCCTGATGTAAGATTTTAAAGCTGGCCTAACTAAAAACAACAATGCATTGATCAACTTCATCTTGGTTTTTGTGATAAAACACTAACCACATCAACTGTTTATAAATGATTTGAAGAATTTAAGTGTTGACACACCAGCCTGTGACAAATTCTATGAAGATTGACAGCTGTTGACCTGGAAAACATTGAGGGTATGATTGAAATAGATCAACATGTTAACTATCATAAGATTCATTCATCTTTGGCCATAGGTAAAACTCATATACAAATAATTTTGAAATACCATTTTGGCAGTGGGAAAGATGGTTTAACGGAGGTAGCTCAAATTTGGCATGGAATATTTTCACTTGTGATGAAACTTGGATATATTGCTATGAGTCTAAATCAACAAACCCGTAGTGTTTCAAGCTGATCCATAGTCATTGTCAAAGAAATAGTTGAGTTTTTTTTTTTGGAAAAAAAGAACATACCACAATTTCATTAAAGAATGGTAGAACTATCAGTGCTGAATTGTTACATCCATTTGATTGCCAAAAGTCAGTAAAAACTACTGGCATTATCAAAATTATTTTGCATCAGGGCAATGTTAGTTCTCATATGCCTTGTATAACATCTAGACTTTGAAGCCAAAAATATCAATTTGGTGTACCATGGTGCATACAGTCTTGAGTTGGCACTATGTGATTTCTTTTCGTTCTTAAGAATCATAAACAAACTACATGGTAAATATTTTAAGAACCTGATGAGGTGATTAAGGCATACAAAAATCTAATTTCTGATTGACCTATGTTGGACTGGCAGGAATGCTGCTACAAATGGGTTGGTTGAATGCAAAAGTGTATTAATCAGAAAGGTTAATATTTCAAAAAAAACCTAAAGCTGAATTTTCCCAAAAAATAGTCTTTCTTGTATTTAATTGTGCAAGACTTTTAGTCCATGCCTCTTATTTAAATATTTTTGAAAAAATTCACTTTCAATATTTTGCAATATTTTAAAAAATGCGCTGCAATGTTACAAGTATATAAAGCTTTTCGTATCAATTTGTTTCCATAAAATAAAATAAAGTATGATAAAAATGTCAGAACTTAATTGAAATTGAAGAATCTCAAAACACTTTAACTGGAACACACTTTCACAAAATAAAAACAAAATGGTTTGAATTAATTTTTATTGAAATTTCAAAATAAACAATAGGATATAAATAAACAGTAATTATAATTGTTAAAAAAATATATAGCAAACTTTTTTTTTTCGTAATAAGTACACTTTTATTTGGCTAAGGCTTCTTAGTCGAGTTGTCAGAGATTTGAATCCTGAAAATCATAAAAACAATCTGAATTTTATAGAGAATATCAATTTTGGCATCCCAAAAAAGTTGCAAAACACATATTTCAAATAAAACATGTAGCTGAGATGGAATCTTCAGAATTCGATATAACAACGAGCTCTATCAACTGTATAAGGAAATACCCCTGTCAGACTTCATTAGAATACAAAGATTGCAATGGGCCGGACATGTGATACGAATGGGAGAGGATAGGCTACCAAAACGAGCACTGAACGCCAGAATGCAGGGAAAGAGACCAGTTGGAAAGCCAAGAAAGCGCTGGGAAGACACAGTAAGCAGCGACGCACAAGCACTTTTTTTAGGAGTCCGTGTATGGAGAAGAGCAGCCACAGACAGACAAGGGTGGAGGCAAAAAATAAAGGAGGCCAAGGCTCATTTTGGGCTGTAGTGCCGTAGAAGAAGAAGAAGATGTAGCTGAGATAATTTTGAACAAAAATTTGAAGTATTAGTACTTTTTGCGTAGATTGAACTGTTCTCTTAAAAATATCTCTTAAACCGACCATCGATTTTGAATGTCAGTTACACCCACGAGATCAATGTCCAATAAAATTTGTATCAGCTTGACAGTAAAAAATCTATATCTTTTAATCCACATATCCTATATCGACAAACATCAAGATGCGTTTTAAAGGTAAAGAGTTCAGCTTTCCTATGCAGTTTTTGTATTTTGCCAAGAAGAAACTTAGTTTTTATAAGGTATATAGGTATTAAATAAATAAATGTAGCATGTTTTTTGCTATTTTGACGAATTTCGTGAGATCAATAAAATTGATCACTTTCATTGACCAGTTGTAGTAAAATTTCCATTTTTAGAGATAAATCGTTAAAATCTATGAGATAAATTTTAAATTTTGAGTTGTGGCAAAAATTTGAGGCATTTGAAATGTGAATTAAAAATGCAGAATTGAATGTTCTAAATGACAAACGATCACATGTCACGGAAAATGCATCATGTTTTGAGTGTTGTTTATAGCATAAGTTTGATTCTTTTGAAAAATGTACTAGTGTAATTGAAAAAAAAAAAGTTATATGTTTTAGATCGTCACGTTTAAATCCAGCGTTTTTTAAGCATATTTGAAATGCCTCATATTTTTTGCCAAAATCTAAAACTAAAATTCCATGCTATAGGTTTTAAAGGTGAGGCTCTAGTAATTGAAACTTTATCGTGACCTTTATAGTGTCAATGAAAGGGATAGATTGTATTGATCTCGTGAGTATCATAAAAAATGGCAAAAGTCACAACACATTTATTTAACACCTTTGTAAAATCTTAGTTTATTTGTGACAAGACACAAAAATTGTATACTAGTTGAACTCTTTACCTTTCAAACGCATCTTGATTTTTGTTGATAGGACACACGATATCAAAAGATATCGAATTTTTACTGTCAAGCTGATACAAATTTTATTGTACATTCATTTCACGCCCATAAATGACATTCAAAATCGATGGTTGTTGCTTCAAGCCTTGTTTCTAAGAGAACAGTTTATTCTACATACAAAGTGCTTCTAAACATTTTTGTTTAAGATTATCTCAATTTTTTATTTGAAACACTTTTTTTTATGGCATACTGATTCTTGGTAAATTGATTTTTTGCGTTTTTACCGCTTAGAAGGGAAATTTTAGGGAAAGCTTGGCATAAAAGTAAAATTCAGCTTGTTTATATGATTTTTAGGGGTTCAGTGGCATTTTCGTCACTGACGACTGGAGTATCTAGTTAGTATCTAAATTAGATAACTTAGATACATAGATAGATATAATTTATTCATATACAAAGTTTACACAAATCTAACAAAAAAAAATGTATTAATCTTTTCGGACTAATCAACATTTTAGTACAAAAGAGTACAATATGTAGTAAAAGTACACATGAATAAAATAAAACAGTGATTACAATACAATAAATAAGAAATAAAAGTTACAAATACAAATTTAGAACTATTGTTGCAAAAATATTATAAAAATTTTAAATTCTATCAACACTGTTGAATGTGTTGTCCATTAAAAATGAGTACACAGTTTGGCGAAAACCTTTATGTGAAGAATTAATGAAAGTTAATATATTCACTATTTTATCGTAACAGTTTATTCCAATATATTCAGGTGCATGTTGGGATACACCTAATCTAGAGAAAGGTTGTCAAAAATTTGATTTATCTCTAGTATCATGTGAGTAAATGAATGTCTTCATTTCTGTCAAACTTGAGCTTGTTTTCCTCAATGTGCAATATCAATTGGAAAATTAAAAAGCTAGGTGGTGTTAAAATATTAAACTTCTTAAATAGTGGCTTGCAAATATCTGAAAATGGAACACCATACATACTTCTTAAAACTTTCTTTTGAGCTATAAGGTAAATAATCAGTAGTTGACACTGTTAAGGAGTGTTAACAACATAAAATTTCAATTTTAGGTTTATTCATAGTAATATTATGCTCAAAAACTTATTTTGAATGTTTTAGACATTAAGAAACAATATCTGCAAATAAAACAATCATAAATGTTAAATAGAAATTTTTTTATTTAAAATAATTTAAGTTATAAAAAAATCAATAGTTGACACTAAAATAAAAACAAAAATCGGTCTTTGACATTTATATGTAATCAGTTGTTGACACTAGTCAAAATACTATTGAATAAGATAGGTAAGTTAGTATTAGATGGATATATTTTTCATTTTACAATCATTTTAGCCATCTACATTTATTGTTGTATTAAACTCATATTTGACCCTATCACCTGAGCCATTTATTACAGATTGAGGTAGTCTTTTGACAATTTGACTTACATTTATTAAGCTTATGTCTCTTTCATTAAGTCTGAACATTGTTTTTGTTTCATTGCAGTAGTCTAATGCCATGACATTTCCTCATTATGAAAAACATCTTGAACTAAACAGACGTAGTGGTGCATCTTTTTTTGCCAGGAAACTGCACCAGTAGAAACTCCCCTTTTCGGTAACACTCTTCACTATTGATGATGACAAAATCACTGACATCATCTCCACTGCTACCTGATTCAATGCATTCTTCATCTTGTGAATCAGATGAACTACTCTTTTTTCCTTTTTTTATTTGCCTTTTCCTTGAATTTACTTTTTTCTTTATTGAGTTCTTTAATTTTCATTTTCTCTTCTCTTTTAATTCTTTCCTCAGCCCTATTTTTTTTGTTTCTCTTGTTCTAACTTTGTCTCTTCCTTTTTTTATGATATGCTTGCCACTGTTCTGAGGTAGCTACAAATGGCACTTTTTCTTTCTTTTTTCTCTTATTAGTTTTTACTTCCGGCTTTGGCCAAAATAATGCCTTTTTAAATGGCGTTGGGATCACTTGTCCATCAATAACAAATTTTTTCTTTACATTTTCAACCTTCTGCATTTTGACAGGTTCAGCATTTCTGTCAGAAAATATATGTTCTTCATT